TACCAAAAAGTAGTTGTCGTTGTTGATGTTGTTGAAAATGTGCAATTTTGATCGAAAGCAAAACAAAAAACCAAAAAAAAAAAAAACATAAGAAAAAACTGAATTTAAGTCAGTCAAAAGCGAAAGCAAACAATATGTGAAGAATTTTTATCAAAAGAAATGCCAAACTGAAGCTGAGCCCAAAAACAAACAATATATATATATTTATAAAAACYAAATAAAATCTATAATCAAACATAAAATACTTAAGCTATATACTACTCGAATGAAGCATCTGTGCAGCTCAAGCGGCGACACGCCCAAAAGTATGCAACTGTATTATTTTTGCATGCCGCCGCTCGCCTCGGCATGCGGCTGGCATTTTTGCAATGGAAACGCTTTGTTTTTTGATGATGAACCAGACGAGCCAACCGAAACCGAAACCGAAACCAAACCCAAAGCCGAAGCAAACACCAAGCCCAACCAGGCAACCATCCATACAAATCCTTGCCTCAAAACCCCAACAGAAATGAAATCCTCTCCACCTTCTTCTTCTACTACTACTCACAATGCTAATTTCAATGTTTTTGTGTGTGTGTATGTGTGTGCGTGTGTGCGTGCGTATAAAATTGTTGTATTAAATTTGGTTAACTAAAAATATAAAATATAAAAAATATGTATATATCTATCTATATATATGCATATCAACTGAATTAAAGCAAACGGACAGGCAGCATATATGTTGGCAATCGAGCAATTCATACCCCCAATCCTCATATCGTAATATCGTAGAATCAGCCAGATTTTTTGTGCAAATCAACTCCACTCAATACCACTTGAGCAGTTGACAGTCATTTTTTAGATGTTTTGAGATGTGTATTGTTTATTATTTTGAAATTTCGATAAGTCCAAAAGAAAGACAAAAACAAAAAAGAAAATATCACAGTGTTTGAACGAAATTCAAATGTATGCCAAAAACAAAAATAATAATAAAAAATATACCAAGCAAAAAAATACCAAAAACAAACATATATTATTGCAAAATACATGAACTAACACTTAAACCAGTACCAATAACATATATACTAAACTATACTATATATACTATATACTACTAATACATATATACTTATATATGCTTAACAGCTCCTATTATATATACTCAATACTAACAATAACTGTATTATATATATTCACACACTCTGACAACCCCCTCACCCAAGTAAACAACTTGCAACGGGCAATCTTTTACTACACACACACACACACACACACACACACACACACCTGTACTGTACTTTGTAACTTGTGTCTCGTATTTTTTTTTTTCGATCCTTATATATGTCTATGTATATCTAAATATACATAGTTAACCTTAGCTAATCACAATGAAGAGCTCAGTTCCATTTTTTTTTTTTTTTTCATTTCGATTTCAAATGTCCTGCAGCTCCAATGCAAATGGTCCTTGCTTTAGTTTGCATTTTCTGCAAGGACTCCGAGCAGCATGAACTGCTTTCGTATTTGTAGCATTGTCTCGACACACACACACCCAACCACTCACACACACACACACAGAGACACTAATGCACCCATATCTAAGCTCATCAATTGTGAAATGTAAATACCAAAACACTCAACTCAAACGTTTCCACTTGCACGAATAATTTTCCAATATATATCAATG